TAACGTTAATTACTTATTGCAATACTGTAGGAGGAGAGAGAGAGAGAGAGAGAGAGAGTCACAGGTTATACGGCTATTACAAAGAAGAAGAGGATAGTATTGACTTGTAATTTATGACTTTGCAAAATTATCACACGACTTCATTCGATTTCTCGATTGTTGAGAGGAGAAGAGGTTAGAGGTTCGATAAATTTTTATCAGGAAAAGTGGCATTTTCTGTTGCACGCGAATGCTCGACGAATTATGAAGCGCACGGTGAAGAGGAAGAGGAGTTTCCACGGTAATCCGACGTCCTTTCCCCCTACACGTGTTAAGGGATTTAGAAGAGAGTCTCTGGAGTGAGAGAGTCTGTTATGTATTATGGATAAAAGAGCCGCGGTTGTGTAGCCGCACACAAAGTTGGAACAAAGTTGGGGAAAGGATTCTCGGACGCTCGGACAGATAAAACACGGCGCAGGGTTCGACAGGCTGATCTCATCGCCGAAATGACTACTTGTTCCACACCCCGCCCGACAATATCAGCCTGCTAACCCTGCCCCCAGCTTCCGTTCTTTTCGATCTCATTGCCCGCGCTTTACTCGCTTCTTCCCAATATTTACGTAGCCGACGATCGTTTTGCGCTCATAGAGACCAGCTTGTCGACAAAACTTTGCAACCGGTTTTTTGGTGTCCCAAGGATGGGGTGATATCATTTTAGGGATAGGATCACACTTGAATTTTATACAGCTTCGAGCAGATTCGCGTCTGAACATTGAACGATCGAATGCTCGAGTATTTTTAATCGACAGAAGGTGAAGAAAAGAGTTGCAAAATTGAATTAAATATTGGAACGTGGAAATTGTTTTGGTAAATAAGAAGGATGTAATAAATAATTATCGATTCCATTATACTTATATTCTAATTGGAAATTAGATAGTGATATCTCGATGGGATAAAATTAATTCTCTCAGTTTACTCGGTTGAGATAAATGTTAATTGCGCTGAAAGAAACTTTTACAAAATTCATCGGATTAATCAAGTTTTTCCAATTTACACGGATCGTTTCGAATGGAAAATTCAATCGAAAACATTTGCCTTTTCTCTATCTGTCACGAGAATTTCCGCTTGGGTTGATAATTTTTCATCGATTCGGCGAAATTACAATCAATAGATGATGGATACGTCACGAGAATAATTCACGGAAACCGGAATAATCCGGTTGAAGCGGTTGCAATGTCGATATGTCCGCTTTAAAGTGGCGTTACATACTCGGCGAAATTTATTCACCCTTGTTTGCCTCACGCTCTTGTGAATCTCTTTCCCTGTAAATCAGCATGCACGAATCAATTTCGAGGATCGCTTCGATCCGAGATTTGCATTGCACGGTTGCAAACACGGAAACTTACACGACAAGGAAGATTTACAGAAGCGTGTACGATTGCGAATAGAAATTGCGTTTATTTATTCAAGAGTGTGGGAATGAGGTTTGTTATAACGAGGAACGTTATCGATAAATGATTACATTAACTCTTTGCCATTGATTTCACCACGAGAATATCTATCTCTCGTAACAAGATTTCTAACGGAATTCTAATTTCTAATTGCAATGAAATTTTGTTTTCCTCCTAAAATATTAGAAAGTTTATACTTTCAAAAATCTGGGAATAATTATCAGTTGTCCAAAATATCAAAATCAAACTTCATTCTATTCTTCAAAGATAAAATAATCATCATCGCCTGAACTTTTCGAAACAAACTCCTCGCATTCCCATCTCATCCTCCAAAAACAAGACAAAACGAAAGCTCCAATTTACTTTGCACCGCAATATCATCGACTAGGCCATCGAAACGATTCACGCCACTTGCACGATATTCCTCGACTTTATTCAATGGAATTCCCGCCCACGCGAGATATATCTCGTTTGTCTCGCGGAAGGATTATGTTCACCCGCATCAGGATAAGCAGGCCTCGATATTTTATCTCACGCCACATTTTCAATCGTTCTTCCGCCGTTAATAGCTTCCGTCGCTCGATCAACCGAACTACCGCCCACGCACACGCGTGTAATGGATGAAAGAAGGCCACGATCGATCAGAAATCTCGGCGTAGAAAATATCGCTCCACGTCAATGGACAAATATTTGTCGACCGGGCGATCGTTTCCATCTCGAAGCTTCCTTTTACAGAATCAAACGCCCACGAATTCCTACACGAAAGTTCTCCCATCTTTGAAAGATATCGCGATGATAAAATCTTTTTTTTTTTTTTTTTTTTTTGATAGAAAAATTTCGAGATACGTTCCGCGAAAGATTATGAAATTGGAATTACTGGAGAAACTTTTTATCGTTTCAATCGTTTGAATATGTATGCCAGATAAACGAACGGCTCTATAAGATAAATCGATATGTCTGTAATACGTTGTATAAACAAGATAAAAATAAAAATATGCGTGTACGTGCCTTGAAGGATCTGGTTTTGATACAAATTTGCGAGATCGATTTTTAAATTTTTATCAGTTTTTTCACGTTTTAACTCTCGTTTGAAAATATTTTCTATAACAAGATGAAATATGTGAAATACGAAGCACTATGGAATTTGAATATTTCAAATATTTTTGTTGTGTTTCGTATTCGATTTGAAAAAAAAAAAGAAAACCAGAGAAACGATATCGAAACTCGAAGAGTTGATTTCACCCTCTCGAAGTGATATTCCATAAAAATTCTATAAACGGAGATGAAAGAAATAAGTCAACAGAACATTAAAAACACGGGACAATGTATTCCACTGGGATATATATTATCGCTATTTGTACAGGAAAAACATGTATATATATATATATATATATATATTGTCCCCATCCGTTTTCGCACAGTCTTCTCCAAATATTTCCTTACCTTAATTTCGCACGATTTCCATCCCTTGGGCTGGTTACCTAAAATTTATTCCACCGACGAACGAGAGAAAAAGGATCGGCCGAATAAATTTAAGGCAAATTTAATTAACCGTCCGCTCGGAATAATACCGCGTGATACAATCTCGTTTACATCATCACGACACGTCTTAGGATTTCTCATAGAGGATGGAACCACCCTTAGAACCGAACTCACGAAATACGAAAAAATTACCCCCATGTCCTCTCTTTCTCTGTTGTGACAAGAGAGAGAGACAAAGAGAGAGAGAGAGAGAGAGCGTACACTCTGATAATCCCTGTCCTTATTATCTCGGTTAACGAACAGAGGTTATACAAAGGAACGCGGGAGTAGCGAAATTCCTCGCGTGAAGCGCATAACAGAATGTTCAATTCGAAAAATTCTCACCATCCTTCCAGTATTCGCGTCGATATGAGAATTCTTCGCCGAGTTCCGTGCTTCCACTCTTAGCGAATATAATCCAAAGTTCCTCGAGGATCGCGATCGACAGTTGCGGGTCGAACGACAAGCGATGCCTGCTCGTTACTACTCGTCTATGTTTCGCATAAGAAAAAAAGAGGGGTGGCGGAGGGAAGTGAGAAATAAGTGTTTATTAATTTTTATGGAGAAAGCTAATTCTAACATTCGAGTGGAAGGTAAGTGGATTAAAATCGTTTTCCAGGAAATCTGAACATCTGGTACGTACGATAATAGAACCTCGATTAACTCGTTTAATTACTCTTCTTTGTTTCTCGATGGGTTTTTCTCTTTTGTTCTTTTGCGTGAAATGATGATGATTTTTAATTATATGAATATTAATTAGTTATTTAATAAATTACAAATATATTTTTTATTCAGATCTCATTGAAATGATTCGTTCTATAACAGATGAATTATAATCGTACAATAACGACGACGACGATGATGAAACTTTGATATCGCAAAGAGTACGTATAATATTATATATAAATTACAAAGAGCAATATTTATTTATTTATTTTTTTTTTTTGAGCGTGTAATTCATCGATCCCTATCCCCTATGTCGATCATTACAATTATTATGTGACAACGCTTCAATAATGGCAACGTGTTAATACTGCTGTCGATCAAGACTAATGAAGCTTCAATGGAACCTGACTTGGAGCCCCCTTTGTTCGAAACAAGTTGACTAACAGTGACACGTGATAATCCATCCGATATTTCTCGCTTGGATATATAATTTACAATTTAAAATTATTACGTAACTCGCAATTATTTTACAATTCTTACAAAATAGATCCGTCGCATCGGTCGCATAAAGTGAAACGCAATCAGAGAATGTTTCGAAATGATGGGACAACGATATCGATCAACAAGTATTGGAAAGTTAGAAATTTTCAATCGAATTTCATTTAGGGGGAGGATATTTATTATGCCAAGCGTTATCTAACTCGCACATGCTCGGTCAAACAAATTTGTATGTAAATAGGAGTGGCAACCGGCCCGATAAATTGCTACATTGTCTATACGTTATACGGCATAACATGCGTTATTTACAGATACATCCAGCCAGAATTCGAAATACATACGCGAATATTTTTCCACCAAATAAATCGCCATGACGGCTTTTATACGCGAGTTATACGAATCCTGTTTGTTGATAAACGAACTTCCTCTTTCCTCGTTGGCAACTAACAC